GCAGGCACCACAGCTGTGGTGCTGGGTCCAGCTGCTCTTAGTGCCTGCAGGGTCCTCCTTGTGCCAGTGGGCTGAGCCCCTGGAAGGAGGGTGCAATTCCTGGAGTTCTTTTCTCGCTGTGACTGATCTCTATGACATGCTGGTTCCTGCCCGTGAGAGAGGCTGGGTTCTGGGGCTGAGGGAGGATGGACGAGGCAGTTCACACTGTGCAGGGCTTCTGTGGGGGTAGCTTTATAGTAGATAAGCATGAGGAGAGCTCTTCTTGTGTTTTAAGCCGTGCACTTGGGAGACCTATGTTCAATTTCCTGCACTGACACTGCCTTTCTGAGAGACCCTGGGCAACTCACTTACGTTAGCAGAAAAATTTGGACCCAAGATTTTCAGTATTAGTTTGTCTATAACCATGAACTGATTAGCTAAAACTAATCAGGAAAGAGATCTTGGCGTCTTCGTGGATAGTTCTCTGAAGACATCCATGCAGTGTGCAGCAGCAGTCTAAAAAACAAACAGGATGTTAGGAATCATTAAAAAAGGGATAGAGAATAAGACGGAGAATATCTTATTGCCCTTATATAAATCCATGGTACACCCACATCTTGAATGCTGCATACAGATGTGTTGTCCTCATCTCAAAAAAAGATGTACTGGCATTAGAAAAGGTTCAGAGAAGGGCAACTAAAATGATTAAGGGTTTGAAACAGGTCCCCTATGAGGAGAGATTAAAGAGACTAGGACTTTTCAGCCTGGAAAAGAGAAGACTAAGGGGGGATATGATAGAGATATGTAAAATCATGAGTAGTGTGGAGAAAGTGAATAAGGAAAAGTTATTTACTTGTTCCTATAATATAAGAACTAGGGGCCACCAAATGAAATTAATGGGCAGCCAGTTTAAAACAAATACAAGTTCTTCACACAGCACACTGTCAACCTGTGGAACTCCTTGCTGGAGGAGGTTGTGAAGGCTGGGACTGTAACAGGATTTAGAAGAGAACTAGATAAATTCATGGTGGTTAAGCCCATTAATGGCTATTAGCCAGGATGGGTAAGGAATGGTGTCCCTAGCCTCTGCTTGTCAGAGGGTGGAGATGGATGGCAGGGGAGAGAGAGATCTCTTGATCATTACCTATTTGATTCAGTCCCTCTGGGGCACCTAGCATTGACCCAGACAGGATACTGGGCTGGATGGACCTTTGGTCTGACCCAGTATGGCCATTCTTATGTTCTTATCAGTGTAGCTGGCCCACATGTGTAAAAGGTGACTGCTGGCTCTGTAGGGATTGCCTGGATATTACCAGGGGACTGTCTCTGACTAATGAACATAAACAAACTTAATACAATAAAGTGAATTATGAGAGACAGGCTCAAAATAATTGCAATAGATGATATACAGAGATCTTTTATCTACTGTATATTTAAGAGAGTCTGTCTATGTGCCTGTATCAGTTCAAGAACACTTCTTAAAGGGTAAAAGCTAGGACCACCAAATGTAATATGCAGCTTCCTCTTATCATAACTTAAAGCAAGGTCCGATTTTGGTTGAGCCAAGAAAATGGGATATTCCTGGAATTGGATTGTGTCTCAACAAATCATACAGAAAAGGGACAGAATCATGAGGCAGGTGATAGTGGCTGGCTGGAGTGTGGAGCATAGGTAGGGTCGGAAACAGCCACCAAAGATTTCCTTAGCTGCTCAGAGAACTTCCTTTGCCTCCTGGTCCAAATCGAGCATCAGCACCAAAGAGCAGGGCAAGCTGAGCTTGCAGCCAAGAGCTTTGTGCACAGATCCCTTGGGGAGCTAGAGCTCTGCTGGGTTCTTTCTCTCCAACTCCTAGGCTATGTCTACACTCGCGGCTTCTTGTGGCAGAAATCTGCAAAGAAGGCTAAGTGTGGAATATCTCTGAGACTCAGTTGCATACCTAATGAGCCGCCATTTTTGCAGAAGAGGCTTTTGTGCCAGAAGGAGCTGTCTACACTGCCTCTTCTTCCACAAGAAAACCCCTCTTGCGCAATGCCATTATGCCGATTATTTTCAGGAATAACGGCATTACACAAGAGGGGTTTTCTTGTGGAAGAAGAGGCAGTGTAGACAGCTCCTTCTGGCACAAAAGCCTCTTCTGCAAAAATGGCGGCTCATTAGGTATGCAACTGAGGCTCAGAGATATTCCACACTTAGCTTCATTTGCATATTTCTTCCGCAAGAAGTTGTGAGTGTAGACATAGCCCTAATGACCTGCCATGTGGCAGCTGCCGTCTGAGACCTGCCTGGGGTCTCAGTGTCAGACCTGCAAGCCCTCACCAGAGCTCATCTCCTGAGCAGTGTGTTCCTGTCCCGCCCTGGGATGTGGGGGGCAAGGAACAGGCCCTGAGGGAGACTTAGTTGTACCCTAGAGAATGCAGCAGAGAGTTCAGCTCCCCTGGGCAATAAGCAGGGCAACTCCCGAGTCTGGGGGATGCACCTTTACTTGCAGGTGAGTGTGTCATGAGATCTTGTACAATCTGCAAGGTGGGAAAGGAGCCTCTCTGGATGCATGACTCAGATCCTGGCTCTAGAAGTAGTAATGGCACAGACCTTAATGAACAAGATCAGCACTTTATTAATTGCTCCCCCGAGCAGGATTTCCAGTCTCCAAAGTTCATGTGATCTCCTGGGTGGAGCAAGGGGAGGAGCTGCGGATCCCAGATCTCCAGGGCTCTGTGAAATGGGAGATCATCAGTGACACCCAGACAGGTGAGCAATCGATTAAACTGACTCAGAAACCAATTTCTGTGTCCTCATAGCAGGTTTCACTTGTGCATTTTCATCCAGTCTGACTGACACTTCAGCCTGTCTTCAACTCCAGTGAGAGGTGGGGGAGGGGAGTTTACCTGTGGTTCCTTTAACCCAAAGATCTCAATATCTTTACTCTGTGTGAAGTGGTGTCAGGAAGTAAATCCAGCGAGACATGGCCGTCAGACTGATAGCTGGCTGGCACAAACATGACCACATAAGAGCTCTCACTTAAACCTTCATGTTACTTAATCTCAAGCACTTACACTCATCTGTAACAGGTTAGTGAAATGCCCTCAAACTACAATAATTCCTGAAATTGGGTGTGGCTCTCGAGTGACCCAGCAGCAGTTTCCTAGTGGCCAGTCTTGCTGCTGCTGGTGGAGACTGCAAGGTCAATCCAGAGGGGGAGTCCCTAAAGAGCCCCTGCCAAAGGGTTCAATTACCTCTAACTGTTTGCCCCTGTTTATTCAAAGAAAACTTGTTACGTGAGCAGCCCTAAAGGTCAGGCAAGAGGTTATCTTTCAACCATCAGCCAGCCAGATGAGATTTTTCAGAGTTTGCATTTCCTGGGGCCCAGACAGACACATCCTGAGGGCACATAGACAAGCTTCTCAGCAATTGCAAAAGGGATCTCCGGAAGGACGTGAGGGCCTTTCTGTGGCACCCAACTCCTGCTCCCCTCCCCCAACTTGGTTATGCTGTGGTTGCTGCCAAAACCCGTTTGTGGCTTGCTAGCTTGGCTGCTTTTATCAAGCAGAAGGGAACACACTTCACTTGTTTGCCTGTATTTGACTGGAATGATGGATTCTGTCTGGGGAAGGGTTGTGAGGGAGGAGGGTGAAATCAGCTCATGATATTTCTGTGAAGGGTTAGATCATAGAAATCCACTTGGGGTTGTCCCGCAGTGTACTGATAAAGCCACCAGTGCCCGCTTTCCTGCCCACAGGGGCTCCTTACCACCCTGTCCTGCTGGGCCAGAAGCACAGGTCTCCCCCAGCCAAAGCACAGAATTGGGGTTACTGCCTCCCAGCTGAGGGACACAGACACTGAACCAGATCTGCTCTAGTAGGGCTCAGCTATAAGGCTTCAGCACCCAGAAAACCAATCCCCAAAAATGACCAAAACCCCAAATGAATCAGTTTTACCCTGTGTAAAAGTGTTACACAGAGAAAGCTCATAAATTCACCTCCTTTTGCATGAAAGAGAGATACGCAGTGGTCACCCCTTCCAGATAACAATTATTTACACTGGGCCTGACGATAAACAAAAGTATTACATGTAAAAAGTAAGATTTAAGTGATTGCAAATGAAAACAGACAGATCAAAGTAAATTACTAATTTAAACAATATACACCAGCTAATTCTAATCCTCTAAGAAACTTATTACATGCACATTCTTACTCTAAACCAGGCATGTCCAAAGTCCGGCCCGCGGGCCAATTGCGGCCCGTGTTCCGGGTTAATACGGCCCCACAAGTAATTTGGCAATATCTATCTTGTATGGCCCCCAACGAATCCATATGTATTGAGATGAATACATTGTAAAATCTCAGTTAATGTCAGTTGGTCTAAATCAGTTATAAATATATTTGGACACAACATGTATACTTGGTGTTATGTTCCTGTTCATATTTTTTGAACTTAAAAGTTGACAGACAACCTTTATTACCAATAATATGTAATGTACTTTACAATGTTCCTGACATATATTTCAGCTTCCTGGATTTTTTTTTTCATCTGGCCTTCAGATATGAAAGGCAGAGTGATTTAACACCTGTTTAGATTTGTCATCCATGTGACGAAATGAAAAGTATGCCGTTTGCAATAAACTTTGCATAAAATAGTTAATTTGCATTTAATTTTAATGGTTCAAAGAATGTCAGGCAAAATGGTCGGCCCTCACGCATGTTCACTTCATCAAATCTGGCCCTCTTTGAAAAAAGTTTGGACACCCCTGCTCTAAACAGTTCTTATCTCAAGTAAAATGCATCAAGTCCCACAGCTGATCTTTATTCTGGTCTAGATCTATAGCTTTTCAGAGTTCTTTAGAGTTCTGTGTTTTCAGGTTTCTTCATGTGCATCTTCTTACGGTGGGTGAGGTAGTTTCTTAGGCTAGCTGAAGACAAAGACCTGATTGCTTTCCTTTCCTTACATAGACTTCCCCCAGGGTCAGAATCCTTTGTTCATGCTTCTCATCCCCATGGAAAAGTATTTGATTCAAGATGGTTTCCAGTACCAGGTGGCACGGTCATGTGACTTTCAAGATCAACCACAGTTTGGGCTTACAGTAAAAATGAAACCATCATTGGTGGTTGGTTTGAGGGCTGAGTCACTAAGTTCCTAACTTATCACTAAGGGTCCTCATTAGCACATTTATACTTAAAACTAGATGCACACTTCATGCATCTAACTTCACATACAAGAATGATACAGGCACGAAAAATAGCAGAAACAGATACGGCAGTAACTTTTTAAATGTTACATATTCTATTATGCCTGTCTCAAAGATGTTTTATGAAAATTCATTTTCATAAGCCAATTTTCATGAAGGATGGGGGAGAGCTGTAGCAATTTCAACCTACCCAGCAGTTGTTTAGGTGTTTTCTCCCCCTTTTCCTGTTGTCATTTCAGCTCAGCACAGAGAATGACTCCTGTCTTTCTCTTTCCCAGCAGGTGACAGGACACTGAGTGAGAGCAATGAGGAGAGCCTTCATCAGGAAGGACTGGAGCAAGTGGCTCCACATGGGATGTTCCTGGGAAGATCTGAAGGCCATGTTTCTCAAAGTCCTGAGCAGGGAGAGATCTATGAGAGTCAGCATAGTCCAGAAAGGCAGCAGGGAAACCATGCAGTGGAGGGACAGGGTCAATCCAGTCATTGGAGCAGAGGGGTGAAACCAGAAACCATTCCACAGCAAATCCCCCATCAAGAGGGACCCTACACTTGCAGTGACTGCGGAAAAAGTTTCCAATGTGGACAGTTCTTCATTTTACACCAGAAAATCCATTCAGGTGAGAAACCCTTCAATTTGTCTGAGAAAATCTGTGACTGCCCTGACTGTCGGAAAAGTTTACATTGGTATTCAGTAACACCTGATTGGCTGATAAACCATAGAGTAGAGAAACCCTTCAACTGCTCTGCCTGTGGAAAAAGCTTCAGTCAGCGCTCAAATCTTAACATTCATTACAGAATCCACACAGGAGAGAAACCCTTTATGTGCACTGCCTGTGGGAAAAGCTTTAATCGGCGCTCAAATCTTAACATTCATCATAGAATCCACACAGGAGAGAAGCCCTTTAACTGCTCTGCCTGTGGGAAAAGCTTCAGTCGGCGCTCACATCTTATTCAACATCAGGTACTACATACAAGTGAGACAGCCTATAACTGCTCTGTCTGTGGGAAAAGCTTTCATCGGCGTGCAAGTCTTGTTGATCATCAGAGAACCCATACCGGAGAGAAGCCCTTCAGCTGCTCTGACTGTGGGGAAAGCTTCATTCGGCGCTCAAGTCTTAAAATCCATCGTACAATCCACACAGGAGAGACACCCTTTAACTGCTCTGACTGTGGGCAAAGGTTCAATCTTAGATCAGATTTTGTTACACATAGAAGAAGCCACACAGGTGAGAAACCCTTCAGCTGCTCTGACTGCGGGAAAAGGTTCAGTCAGAGGTCAGACCTAGTTAGACATAGTAGAATCCACACAGGAGAGAGACCATTTAATTGTTCTGAATGTGGGAAAAGGTTCAATCTCAGGTCAGACCTTGTTAGACATTGGAGGATCCACACAGGAGAAAGGCCCTTCAGCTGCTCTGACTGTGGGAAAAGATTCAATCAGAGGTCAGACCTTGTTAGACATAGTAGAATCCACGCAGCAGAGAAGCCCTTTAATTGTTCTGAATGCGGGAAAAGCTTCCATCCAAATGAAAATCTGATTAAACCTTAGGAAAACAGAAGAGAAACCCTTCAACTGCTCTGACTGTGGGAAAAGGTTCAGTTGACACTCAAATCTTGGCAGGCATCCTACAGTCCACACAGGAGAGAAACTCCGTAACTGCTGTGACTGAGGAAAGATTCAGTGAGAGCTGATATGTTTTTGAACATCAGAGAACCCACATGAGTGAGAAGCCTTCTAATTGTTCTGACTGTGGGTAAATGTTGAGTTGACGCTCAGACTTTGTTGGACATAGAAGAACCCACACAACACAGAAACTGCGTAACTGCTCCGATATGGGGAAAGTTTGTCAGAGGTCATACCGTATGCAACATAGGAAAATCCAAATGGGAGAGAAACCCCTTCAAGTGGTCTGTCTGTGGCAAAACCTTCAGTTAGTTCTCAAATCGTAACAGGCATTGTACAATTAATACAAGGTGAAAAACCTTTCAACTGCTCTGACTGTGGGAAAAGTTTTCATGGGCGCTCAAGCTTTATTGAACATCAGAGAATCCCAAAAGAAGAGGGAACCTACAGGTGCAGGGCAGTGCTCACACATTCTGTCATATCCAAAAGCCCACAGGCTGAGACCTTATGAATTGTCAAGGTCAGGAAAAGCATTCGTTGGAGATCTTAGGCTAGACCACTCTCATCAGCATTCCACACTGGCTGGCTTACATGGCTATCCTTGTGTTGTGTGGGGATTTGAGGAGCCCTGAGGTACTTACTGCCCACGCAAGAATCCACAGAGGGAAGAACCCTTTAAATGCCCCAGATTTGGAAAACGTTCTGAGAGAGCTCAGCCCTTAATAACCCATAGAGAATCTACAGGAAAGGGTGCTCTAAAGCCTCCTAGTGCAGCTCATCCCTCATGAGATGTAAGAACATCCACTGAGTACGCACACCGTAAAAGTGTGCTGGCTGGGGATGGGGCAAGAGAGTAACATTTTTCATTATTCCTACACATCTCTGAGGGTAGGGCATGGCTCCACAGACATGTAATGAGGATGTGCATCGTTATTCAACCAGGGTATGAAATGTCCTCCAAGAACAGAGCCATGGACAGTGAGAAGTTGAGATAAGTTTCCCATATTATAACAGGACTTGATTATAACTTGTTGAGAAATCTGAATATTTTCTGTTCAGTCATTTCATTTGCATTTGATGTTACACACCTAAACCCATTGATTTCTCATTCATCCCTGACAGCCTTTTTAGGCTGGAATCCATCAAAAGACTTAAACTTTATGACATTGAGTGTTGCAAATGCCTAACTCTTGGTTATCTAGAATATTAGAGAAACAGCAGTGGGATCCACAAAGACTGAGTTATGTGTCCAACCCCATTATATCATGACAGAGGAGGAATAGGTGTCTTAGAAAGCAGTCCCAAATCCCCGCCCATCACATAGGGAGCCAAGTAAGCTAGCCAGTGTGGCATGCTAACAAGAGGAATCTGTCTTAAGCCTCGCCCCTTTAATGCAAATAGGCATATATCTGTTCTCCCTATTCATGAACCACAGAAGTGAAATTATCTGCTGACAATAGGGCCCTGCCTAGTAGATGTTTTGAGAGACTGCCTGACCTTGCAGTGGGGACTAGGATGTGGAGTCCCGTTCAAGTCTCCTCCATGCCTAAATTTCAAAATAAGGCATTATTCCAACAAATCCCTTAACCTTTGTGGAACAAGGATTACAGGGATGCCTGAAATAGCAACGTAGTCTAGACATACCCTAAAATAAGTTACAAAGAGGAGGGAGAAAATTTAATTCTCCTGACCCTCTGATGATAGGACAAGAAGCAATAGGCTTAAATTGCAGCAAGAGAGATTTAGGTTGGATGTTTTATTTCCTAACTGTCAGGGTGGTTAAACACTGGAATAAATTGCATAGAGAAGTTGTGGAATCTCCGTTATTAGAGCTTTTTAAGAGCTGGTTAGACAAACATTTATCAGGGATCATCTAGATGGTGCTTGGTCCTGCCGTAAGGGCAGGGGACTGAACTCAATGACCTCTCGAGGTCCCTTCCAGTTCTAGTGTTCTATGATGCTATGAAAAAAACCTTTTTTTCCAAATGGTACAAAAGAAGAACGCTAGAAATGGGAAAAGTAATACAGCTTTCCAACTGCCGCAGGTTGGGGAAAATTCTTCACACAAACTGGAATGGGTGACAGGGTTTGCATCTGACCCCATTGTAACAATATGGTCACAGTACCCAGCCTGCCCTAACCTGCCGCTGCCTCTTCCTTCCCCTTGGCACATAGATCTGTAAATAGAAGTAAATAAGTTAAATCTTGGCATGGCACTTCTGAAAGGTTTCCAACCCTTGGTATAGATGGTAAGTGAGCTCAAGAGCTGACAGTAGAGTTGGCTCTGGAGTGGAAGTGTTATAATCACAGGAGCACCTGAGAACCTTTGTGAATCCCTGATCCCTTCCTTAGCTCAATGGATACACACAGGTGCTGAGATGGCTCAGATTGTCATTGCGAGGCTCTGGCTTGGCTCTGGGCACTGAGCCAGGACAATGGTGTATTTGTGACTTTCTTGCTTTGAACCAGGAAGAATTGGGGATTCATTTACCCACCTTTTGTGTGTGTTCTAACCATTTTCAGCTAGAGACGCATCTACATGCTGCTGTTTTTCAGGCTGTAGTGATCATAGGACTGAATGCTATTTACAGATTTTGCTTAGCCTAAGAATGCTGCCTACCTAAGACAAAGTCCGAGAAGGATTAGTGATTTGTCTAGAATTTGTTACGTTGGCACTGATATGAACTCGCTCATCATACCCAGTCCATCTAGTTGTGTTCAATTTCATGTTTTTGTTCAGAAGTTTTATGATCAAATCAAACTATAGTTTTAACCAAGTTACTCCAATGAATTTATACTTGGTTATCTGAGGTAAGGTCCATGTTCATGTTACAAACTGGTCAATGCAAGTTACAGTGACAGAAAGCGGCTGCTGTTAGTAGAACCGTTGTATGGATGCAAACTTGGCCACAGTTGTCAGTGCTGCTTCTACTTACCCCCAGAGCAGTTTCACTCTCCTCTCTCTGCCAACAGCATGGAGCCTGCACAGCTCTGCACCAGTGTCATGACCGCTCTACACACAGGGTGAAGAACCCTCTGGTATTTGCAGGCCCCAAGAAGAATTGCAGCGCAGGGGGCCAGGCCAATGTTCAAAGCCCCCTGTTTATTCCGTACCAGCACATGTCTAGCACATGTAATTGGCACATGCAACACAGGAGCGCTGCTAGGGGTGCTTGCCAAGCTGGGCACCCTGAAAAAAGTATTTCAAAAATATGTGGGGTGGGTAAGTGGTTGTGGGGGGCTTCTGGTCTCCATGATCCCTGGGCAGCGGAGTTCACAATGATGACTAGAGAGGGGCAGCTGCTGGAGGACTATTAGCATTGACATAGGTCAAACGGTGTCTATGCTCCTCCTGCATTGACCACACTAGGTCACCCTGGCTCAAGGAGATGGTGTTACTATGTTCCTGTAATTGGCTGCTTACATAGCTGGAAGCCCAATTTCAATGTAGACTCATGCAGAATTATAGTGATGCAAGACGGCTGACATCAATGTAACTATGAAATGATGGCCAGAGCTAGTTCTTTACGTTTAGCTGTTGAAGTCAATTGTTAATGCTTAGATAATTCATTTGAGTTACAACAACCTATGGATGTGGTTTGTATGTCATGAAAAATAAATGAATATAATTGTGGTTAGAGCATAAGTTTTGGAATTCTAGGCCCACCTTTATAACACTACTCCACTCAAAACAGTTAACCAAATTGTTTTAACTTTGTATTACAGAATTTCAATTTTTAGTTAAATATTCCTACATTGGATCACTCTCTTTATTTCCCTTTTTTAAATCTGGTGCCTCATTTGAATAGGCCTTCTTGGACTATTTAATGGTTTCCTTCTGTCATTTTTGATTATTTAAATGTTTATTTTGAGACATCCTGTCATGTATATTTTCAGTCTCAATTAGCTAAGGGTAGTCTCATTATAACCATAAACACACCCATCTCTGAATTCATTTCCAGTTATTTGAGAAGCATTTCTAACTGATTGCTTTTCCCAATTCTGAATTGTGATAATTGTTTAGCTCTTTTCATCTGAAAATTACTTGGTTCCCAACCCCTTTCTCCTTCACTCCACTGTCATTCTGGGAGACAGCTTCATTTCTGCATTCCTGTCACCAGAACAAGAGAAAATTGCCCAGTAACCTGTGCAAAAGTAGAGGACAGCAAAGCAGGATAGCTATCTGTACTTTCCCTATGGCCCTGTCTGGGTATGTCTACACTACAGAGATGATCGAAGCTCCCGCAGTCAATCTTGGGGTTTGAATTAGCGGGTCTAGTGAAGACCTGTTCATTTGAAATGAGAGGGGTACTCTGGTTGATGCCAGTGGTCCTGCTTCAACGAAGAGGAAGGGAAGTCAAAGGAAGAGTGTTCTCCCTTCAACTTCATGCATTATGGACAGCACCAAAAGTTGACTTACGGTACTTTGACTTCAGCTACGAAATTAACATAGGTGAAGTTGTGTATCTTAATTCATCTTTATCCCATAGTGTAGACATACCCTCTGTACACATGCCGTGCCTGGCCCTAGGGCAGTGCCCTGGGATCCTCACCTCTCTCTGCAGCCAGCGCCTCTGAAAGGGAAGAGAAAAACCCATCACTGGCAGGGGCATGCCCAGGGCTAACGTCCCAGCTCTGCCCCATGCTGCGAGAGAGACCCTGGAGAGTTAGGCCAAGGAGCCAGCTTCTCACTGGCATTTCCACACCCAGCCACACAGAGAGGCCCCTGGGATGCCACACATACCAGAACAGGGGAGGTGCCCAACTCCTATGGGCACCAATGGGAGTTAGGGGCCCAAGCTTCTGTGGGGCTTCTGAAAGGCCTGCTAGGCACCGGTGTGACTCACTGGGCACATACCTAGCTCAAAGCATCTGGCCCAAGGGACTCAGACTCTGGAGCCCAGGTGCACAGGAACATCCCTGAGTCTGTGACGTCTTCCATGGCAACCAGCTCCCAGCATTCTCCAGAAATCTCCCCCTGCCCCTCGGCCCGTGCAGGCTGGGCTGGAGGGAGACTCTTACCTTGCACAGCAAGAGGGGGAGGCTACAGGGGCAGGGGGGGGGCCACCCCTGTTCTCAGCCATTCACGTCTCTATGGGAACCTGCCTTTCTGCTCAGAGCAGTTTTCCCCAGCTCAGAAACCCGCCAGCCACTCCTCAGGAACAGTCACTGGGGTGTCACAGGGAATCCAGCTGGCCCTTTCCACGCCCTGTGGGCTGCGTTTCCCTGCAGGCCAAATTAACAGGTTTTAACTGAGCAGCACAAATACCGCTGGTAAGTGAACCCTCAGCTCCCTCACTGGGTGCCTCCCTCCTCAGAGCAGTTTTCCCCAGCTCAGAAACCCGCCAGCCACTCCTCAGGAACAGTCACTGGGGTGTCACAGGGAATCCAGCTGGCCCTTTCCACGCCCTGTGGGCTGCGTTTCCCTGCAGGCCAAATTAACAGGTTTTAACTGAGCAGCACAAATACCGCTGGTAAGTGAACCCTCAGCTCCCTCACTGGGTGCCTCCCTCCAGCACAGCTCACAGAGTAAGTGAAACACAGGACACTTGTGAACAACCAGCACAGCTGAGAGCACCAGCCCCCTTGTTCGGCTGGGTGGTGACAGAGCCGGAGGCGGCCCTGGGCACACATCTGTGCTAATGAACTATCCTGGTAGCTCCAAGCTTCCCCCCCGCCCCTGGGGCCTTGCTCTGAGCAGCCAGGGGTGCTGGGACTCCAGGGGATCTCCCAGGATCGGGGCCCTCTTAGCTGGGATGCAGGGCTCCGAGTGCGGCTCTGGTCCATGGGGATATGAACACACCGGCACTGACAATAACCCAGGGAGAGGCGTGGTCAGGGAGCAGCCCCTCCCCCACCCCAATACAATGAAAGATGAACCCCCAGCTGCAGTCCCCCTCCCCGCCGTTCCCAGGAATCCCATCACACCCTTCTGGAAATCCCAGATTCTCCGTTCCAGCTCGGCACTCGGGTGCCAGATGCGGCGACGTCACCTCCTCACCGTTGCAGACACACAAGGGTATTTATCGGTCTCCCTCCTCGACCCTAAGTCCTGCCCCCCCCCAAAGCCAGACAGGGGAGCGGGGTGGGGGCTGGGCCACAAGCAGAGCTCACAGGGCCGTGACCAGCCTGGGGGTCTCTCGCCAGTCAGAGGGAAAACAGCCGGGGCGGCACCAGGCCCAGCTCCACTCTCACCCAGCCGGCCCGTGTGCCCTAGTGGGGCCTGGCTGGGCTGCTCCCAGGGCTGAGAGAGGGACCTGTTCTCCAGGCCCCGCTGCTCCACTCAGTCCCACACGGGCCATGTCAAAACCAGAGCCAAGTCCCGCAACGGCAGGTTGGCAAGCGCCAACCAGCAGGGGGCACAGCCCCTGGTTTCTGTTAAAGCAAATTCAACAACCAGGAGCCAATCACACTCACCACAGGGGATTGAAAATAAACTTAGGACTGTGTCCCTCGCAGTGAGCTGGGAGTGGGGAGACACCCTGGGTGTGTCTATGGAAATACAGTTTGCTCCTGCTATGCTTAGGTGTGTGAAATGTCCTGCCGACAGCGCGGTGCTTTGCTCATTGTCATCAAACTGCCTGGCGTCAGGCCACAAATTGGGCTAGCACTAATTGCAGGGTAATTATTGTGGGAATATAGGAGAGAGAGTCTGTGCTTAACCTGGCTCAAAAGACATCTCTGCACTGGGGCAGGGTTGTCCTAAACCCAGAGCTGCTCCACCCCTTCCCTCCCGAAGGACAGCCCTGGCTGTAGGATTAGCACTGACATAATTAGGTTGATGTGAGCTGCCTTATGTCACTAATTCAGTAATGTAAACAAAGCGCCAATCCCCAACCTGCAGAGGCCTGTTCCCTGCCCAGCCTCCCTTATGGTCAGAGAGTTACAGCCAATATTCCCTCACTTTTTTTTCCATCTATGTGTGGAATAAATTTTAAGTGCATTGAGGAATATGCAGATGTGCACCACCAGCAGAAACACCTGATTCCAGCTGTGGAGAGCTGTGGGCGCTCTGCTCATCAGCTGGGCAGCATTTGAATCTCTCCTGCGGCAGGGGAGGGCTACCCAAGCAGGCAGCTTACAGCCCCCCCAAAGCCAGACAGGGGAGCGGGGTGGGGGCTGGGCCACAAGCAGAGCTCACAGGGCCGTGACCAGCCTGGGGGTCTCTCGCCAGTCAGAGGGAAAACAGCCGGGGCGGCACCAGGCCCAGCTCCACTCTCACCCAGCCGGCCCGTGTGCCCTAGTGGGGCCTGGCTGGGCTGCTCCCAGGGCTGAGAGAGGGACCTGTTCTCCAGGCCCCGCTGCTCCACTCAGTCCCACACGGGCCATGTCAAAACCAGAGCCAAGTCCCGCAACGGCAGGTTGGCAAGCGCCAACCAGCAGGGGGCACAGCCCCTGGTTTCTGTTAAAGCAAATTCAACAACCAGGAGCCAATCACACTCACCACAGGGGATTGAAAATAAACTTAGGACTGTGTCCCTCGCAGTGAGCTGGGAGTGGGGAGACACCCTGGGTGTGTCTATGGAAATACAGTTTGCTCCTGCTATGCTTAGGTGTGTGAAATGTCCTGCCGACAGCGCGGTGCTTTGCTCATTGTCATCAAACTGCCTGGCGTCAGGCCACAAATTGGGCTAGCACTAATTGCAGGGTAATTATTGTGGGAATATAGGAGAGAGAGTCTGTGCTTAACCTGGCTCAAAAGACATCTCTGCACTGGGGCAGGGTTGTCCTAAACCCAGAGCTGCTCCACCCCTTCCCTCCCGAAGGACAGCCCTGGCTGTAGGATTAGCACTGACATAATTAGGTTGATGTGAGCTGCCTTATGTCACTAATTCAGTAATGTAAACAAAGCGCCAATCCCCAACCTGCAGAGGCCTGTTCCCTGCCCAGCCTCCCTTATGGTCAGAGAGTTACAGCCAATATTCCCTCACTTTTTTTTCCATCTATGTGTGGAATAAATTTTAAGTGCATTGAGGAATATGCAGATGTGCACCACCAGCAGAAACACCTGATTCCAGCTGTGGAGAGCTGTGGGCGCTCTGCTCATCAGCTGGGCAGCATTTGAATCTCTCCTGCGGCAGGGGAGGGCTACCCAAGCAGGCAGCTTACAGTGTAATGCGGCTCCCTGCTGGGCTCCCTGCATTAATGGCAGGGCCGGGGACATAGCACGTCCCACTTCATGACTGGGTATGGATGAAAAATTCCTCTGGATTTCACCCTTTTCTCTCTGATAACCAAATACCAACCAAACCCCCAGGCTACGTCTACACTGGCCTGATTTTCCGAAAATGCTTTTAACGGAAAAGTTTTCCGTTAAAAGCATTTTCGGAAAAGCACATCTAGATTGGCAGGATGCTTTTCCGCAAAAGCACTTTTTGTGGAAAAGCATCCGTGGCCAATCTAAACACGGTTTTCCGCCAAAAAGCCCCGATCGCCATTTTCGCCATCGGGGCTTTTTTGCACAAAACAGTACTGTGCTGTCTACACTGGCCCTCTTGCGCAAATGATTTGTGCAAGAGAGCTTTTGCCCGAACGGGAGCAACACAGTATTTCTGCAAGGACACTGACGATCTTACATGAGATCGTCAGTGTTCTTGCAGAAATTCAAGCGGCCAGTGTAGACAGCTGGCA